TTTCCCAATTGTTTGTGCCAGATGTCAGCGTCGGCGCGATATCCACGTGTGCGTGCGTACAGTTGCCTCTCCTGTGCTAATATCTCTTCTGTCGTTGGACTTCTTGTTTCGTCCGCAGGTTCCTCAGGCACAAGGACTTTAAAAGCTGCCGCGTGAAGAGCCTCAAGTCTTGTTCCGTGGTACGTTCCTTCGGAATCGTCGATGGTTCTGGTGTCGATCGTCACAGGAAGCTGCAGCGGTCTTTCTGGAGACGTTGTTCTGATGCCGCGCTGATCTTCTAGTTGAGTAATTTCGCCTTCTTCGAAGTCGGTATCGCCAATCGCTGCTCCCCTTGTGTTGAGGCGGAGATAGCTTCTTCTGTCCATTGTGACTTGGATAAGGTGAGGTTCATACTCTGTCAGGGGCTCTTCTTCTGTTGCAGGCAATTCTGTTGCATAGTAATTCCCTCTTTACTACAGTGGGGGCACATAATGTAATCATTCACGGCCATTAGGCAATGTTGACTGTCAAACTTATATGCTATAGTCTGTGTAGGCTGTAGTGGGGTAGTTCATATGGGGTACAACACTTTAGGGTTTCCTACTTGTACTCCTCATGCTGCTCAATGCAATCATTCCTCGTTCTATCTTTCACATGGTTTCAGAGCAGGTTCCCTAGTGGGAACGGTTTTTTTTTTTTTTTTTTAAGGGCCCACCACTGAATTTTTTCCTACCTGCCCGAAGCGCGCTGTCGCGCCTGCCTCACCTGCGCCGTCGCGCGCCCTGCCCTGCTGTCGCTAGTCGCGACCCTGCCCTAGCCGCCCGTCGCGGCCCTGCCTTGTCGTCGCCCGTCGCGGCCTGATCTGCCGCCCGTCGCGGCCCTGCTTTGCCGCCCGTCGCGGCCCTGCCCTGCCGCCCTACGTCGTGGCCCTGCCCTGCCGCCCTACGTCGCGGCCCTACCCTGCCGCCCCACGTCGCGGCCCCTGACCTGCAGCAGCCGTCACGGCCCCTGACCTGCAGCTGCCGTCGCGGCCCTGCCGTCTCCGCCGTCGCGCCTGCTGCCACCGTCGCGGCCCCGCCTTCGCGGTCCTGCCCTGCACCCGCCGTCGCACCTGCACCACCCGTAGCGGCCCTGCCCTGCCGCCGTCGCGCCTGCAGCTGCCGTCGCGGCCTCACCATCGCGGCCGCCGCCGTCGCAGCCGTTGCGGGCCCGCCGTCGCGCCTGCCCTGCCCGCCCCTGGTGAGCACCTGCCCTACGCGGGCTACCCGCGCCTGCCTGCCGGCCGAGCCGCGCCGCCCAGCCGAGCCGCGCCGCTCCGCCGAGCCGCGCCGCCCAGTCGAGCCACGCCGCACTGCCCTACTGAGCCGCGCTGCCGTGCCCGCGCTGCTCCTGCTGCTACTGCTGCTTCTGCTGCTACTGCTGCTACTGCTGCCACTGCTGCTACTGCCGCCATGGCTAGCCCTACGGTTCTTACCTTCGATGCTGAGGGTCGTGCTGAGGATCTGGGTCGATGATCTGCAGCTGTTTCTTCAGTGCGATTCTAAGGACGGAGTCTCTCTTTTTGATCTCACGTCCGGCGCCTCTACTGCACCTGCTGCCGAAGCTGACAGTACAGTTCGCTCGCAGTGGACTACTCGTGACGCTGTTGCTCGCCTTGCTGTTTGTAGTCACCTGCCTTCTGCTGAGCGCGTGCACTTTGGTCAGTATAAGACTGCTAAGTCTCTGTATGACGCTGTTGTAGCGCGCTACTCCTCCCCTGCCACTGCTACTCTCAGTCGCGTCATGCTACCGTACCTGTTCCCTGACCTGGCCGCCTTTGCTACAGTCGCTGACCTCATTACCCACCTCCGCACTAGCGACGCCCGCTACCGCGCTGCGCTTCCCTCCGAGTTCTGCGCCAAGAACCCCCTCCCCCATGTACATCACTCTCTTCTACCTAGTCACCCGTCTCCCTGACTCCCTTTCTTCAGTCAGGGACCACTTTCTCTCCCTTTGCCCCACCGAGCTCACCGTTGACCTGCTGAAGGAGCGCCTCACTGCAGCTGAGAAGAGTATAGTTGCTGTAGGTGCTTCTCGCGGCGACCCCCGCGCCCCTTTCTTTGAGGGGTGTTCCCCCGTTCCCCTTCTGCCCTCTGTTGCTTCTGCTGCTGCTGTCGACCTCGTTGGCACCGAGCAGGTCGGGGCTGCGTCTGCTCCTAGTGAGAGGCGCCACAGCGGCAAGGGCAAGGGGGGCAAGGGTGGTGGAGGGGACGGCGGGGGCGGCGGTGGTGGCGGTGGAGGAGGTGGAGGGGGTGGGGGTGGAGGCAAGGGTGGTGGCGGGGGAGGGGGTGTCGGTGGTGGCGGTGGAGGTGGTGGAGGCAGCGGCAGCGGTGGTGGAGGCAGTGGCAGTGGTGGTGGAGGCAATGGCAGCGGAGCTGGAGGTGGCGGCGGCGGTGGTGCTGGTCGGGGTGGAGCTGCGCAGCGTGGAGGCTTCGGCGGTCGCCAGCGCCAGCAGCAGCAGCTTTCCCGTGAGACCCCGTCGCCTCAGCAGCTTCGTGAGTGGTACGCTGGGCGTGGGAGGTCTGGGGGTGCTGGTCCCTGCACTTACGTTCTCCGCACCGGCGGTCGCCGTGGGGAGACGTGCGGAGGGCCACACACGTTGCAGCGCTGTTTCGGTCGCCTGTCTGACGCCTGGCGCGCGCAGTTTCCTGACGCTCCTGAGCTCCCTAGCTGGGCTGATCTGCTTAGGCAGAATGTTGATATCTTTGCTCTAGACTTTGATGCTATCCTTGCTGCCATGTATGCTGTGACTATTAGTGCTGAGGGTGACTGTTACCTGTGTGTGCCGCCCAACCCAGGTATAGAGTCTACTGCTCTAGGTGCTGGTGAGGCTGCTGCTCTAGGTGCTAGTGAGTCTGCTGCTCCAGGTGCTGGTGAGTCTGCTCTCTCTGGTACTGCGCCTGCTAAGGCCTTGCACACCTTCACACTTGACTCAGGTGCTTCCCGCTCCTTCTTTTGCGACAGCACCACACTCACGCCGCTCAGTCGGCCAGTTGCAGTCTCCCTGGCGGACCCCTCTGGGGGCCCCGTCCTTGCGCACTCCTCCACGGTCCTGCCGTGTCCGGCTGTCCCGTCTGGCTCACCGTCGGGTCTCCACCTCCCCTCGTTCTCTACGAACTTGGTGAGTGGAGCTGACCTCCAGGATGTGTGGGTTGACCAGTTCACCCCTGGAGGTCAGCGTGTGACCCACTGTACGTGCTCTCGGACTGGTCGGCACCTGACCACGTTCACCCGAGCGCCTGGCTCGAGTCTGTACACACTGACCACTGTGTCCCCTCAGGCAGCTGCGTCTACATCTGCGTTTGCGTCAGGTCAGCTAGCGGCCCCCTGCTCGTGTCGCGCTTTGTCGCACCAGACTGTCCTTTGGCACCACCGTCTTGGTCACCCCTCGGTGCAGCGCCTTCGTGGCATGCACCGACGTCTCCTTGTCTCTGGACTTCCAGAGACTCTGCCTCCTCTCCCACCCTCGCCTGCCCCTCCCTGCCTTCCCTGTGTCGAGGGGCGGCAGCGCACCGCTCCTCACTCCTCCTTGTTCCCCCCGACGACTGCTCCCCTGCAGACCCTGCACATGGACGTGTGGGGCCCAGCCCGCGTCCGTGGACAGGACCGCGAGCGGTACTTCTTGCTGGTCGTTGACGACTACACGCGTTACACCACGGTCTTCCCCTTGCGCACCAAGGGTGAGGTCCCTGATGTTTTGATCCCTTGGATCCGCGATGCCCGTCTCCAGCTCCGCGAGCGGTTCGAGACGGACTTTCCCGTCTTGCGTCTGCACTCTGACAGAGGTGGTGAGTTTGCCTCTGACTTTCTGCGGGACTTTTGTCGTGGGGAGGGCATTCGCCAGACGTTCACGCTCCCGGCCTCACCGCAGCAGAATGGGGTTGCTGAGCGCCGCATTGGCTTAGTCATGGAGGTCGCTCGTACCTCCATGGTCCATGCGGCTGCCCCCCATTTTCTGTGGCCGTTTGCGGTCCGATACGCTGCGCATCAGCTCAACCTCTGGCCCGGTGTCTCCTTGCCGGAGACCTCGCCCACACTGCGTTGGACGGGGAAGGTTGGCGATGCATCAGTGTTTCGGGTCTGGGGTTATCGTGCCTTTGTCCGCGATACGTCCGCGGACAAGCTCTCCGCCCGTGCTATTCCCTGCGTCTTCCTTGGCTTTGTCCCTGACGCGCCTGGCTGGTAGTTTCACCACCCCACCTCGCGCCGTGTCCTCCCCTCTCAGGACGTCACGTTCGACGAGTCGGTTCCTTTTTACCGTCTCTTCCCCTACCGCACTGCTTCTCTCCCCCCCCCGCCGCTCTTCCTTGCACCAGGTCCTCCTCCGGTAGACCCCCTCCCCCCTCAGGGTCCTGCTCCCTCAGGTGTGTCCCAGGTAGACGCTGTCGAGCCTGTCGAGGTAGCGGTTGACTCTGGTGCTGCTACTGGGGGTGGTGCTGCTGGGGGTGCTGAGCCTGAGCGTGCGGAGCCTGGGGGTGCTGAGCCTGAGCGTGTGGAGCCTGGGGGTGCTGAGCCTGAGCGTGTGGAGCCTGGGGGTGCTGAGCCTGGGGTTGCTGAGTCTGAGGGTGCGGAGCCTGGGGGTGCTGAGTCTGGGGGTGCTGAGCCTGGGGGTGCTGAGCCTGCGGTTGCTGAGACTGGGGGTGCTGAGTCTGCTGGAGTTCCTGCAGGTGCCTCGTCTCGGCGGGAGCCTCTCTCTCCACCGGAGCTGCGCGAGTGGTTTGCTCGCCGCTGGAGACTCCAGCGAGGTGCTGCTGGAGCTGGAGCTGCTGGAGGTACTGCTGGTGCTGGAGCGGATGGAGGAGCTGGAGCCGCTGGTCCTGGAGGTGCTCGTACTGGAGGTACTGGAGCTGCTGGGGCTGGTGGTGCTGCAGGAGTTGGAGCTGGAGGTACTGGAGCTGCTGGAGCTGCTGGAGGTACTGCTGGTGCTGGAGCTGCTGGAGGTGCTGCAGCCGCTGGTCCTGGAGGTGCTCGTACTGGAGGTAATGGAGCTGCTGGGGCTGGTGGTGCTACAGGAGTTGGAGCTGGAGGTGCTGAAGCTGTTGCTGTTGGAGGTGCTGCTGGAGCTGGAGCTGCTGGAGGTGCTGGAGCTGGTGGTGCTGAGGGAGTTGGAGCTGGAGACCCTGGAGCTGGGGGTACTGGTACTGTCTCTGCTGTTTCTGGTGGCGCTGCGCGGCCGCGGCCGTACTACGTTCCGCTCCTTCAGTAGGTTCTTGGCCTCCCGCTTTCTACTGGTCCTCCTCCTCCTTTACTGAGTCCACAGCCTGACCAGTCGCAGTCACAGTTACAGCCAGCCTCTCCACTGCCTGGTCCTTCTCCTTACTATGGGCCGACTAGGGGTCTTACGGAGCGTCGTGAGCTAGAGTCTCGTCCTGCGTCACCTGAGTCTCGTCCTGCGTCGCCTGTTCGCGCTGTCCGCACTGGTCGTCGTGTTCCGCGTCAGCGTCCTCCCCCTGTCCCTGGCACACACCTGATGGCACTTCGTCCTTCCACTGCTCCGCAGCGTGTCCCTCTGCCGTCTCCTCCTGCGTCCTCTCTTCCTGACGGTCCGGACCCGGAGTCTGACTCCCTTCGTGCTGCTAGTCCTACTGTCACGCGACTCCTGGCCACTGTTGTCACTGACCCTTCGTTTGAGTCCACTGCTGCGTCTGCTCTAGTTGCTGAGCTTGTTAACTTTGCTGCCGCCTGTCGTCTAGACTACGCCGCTAGTCTTGTTGCTGAGTCTGAGTCTGAGTCTGTCTGTCCTCCGTCCGTCGCGGGTGAGTGTGCCCTTAGCACGGACGTCCTTGAGGACAGACAGGAGGAGTTTGAGTGCTTTGCCGCTGCTTTACCTCATCTCGTGTCCATGCTGCTTGCACCTGAGGGAGACCCGGATGCTCCAGACATCCCGACCGCGCGCTCTTACGCAGAGGCGATAGAGGGTCCCTACTCCTCTCAGTGGCAGACAGCCATGGACGCAGAGATGGCTTCTTGGAAGTCCACAGGCACCTACGTAGACGAGGTTCCCCCACCTGGGGCGAACATTGTCAGTGGCATGTGGATTTTCAGGGTGAAGCGGCCGCCGGGTTCTCCGCCTGTCTTCAAGGCGCGTTACGTTGCACGAGGCTTCAGTCAGCGAGAGGGAGTTGACTTCTTCCAGACCTTCTCCCCTACCCCGAAGATGACCACTCTTTGGGTTCTGCTGCACGTCGCCGCCCAGCGTGACTACGAGCTTCACTCTCTTGACTTCAGCACTGCTTTCCTACAGGGCAGCCTGCACGAGGAGATCTGGCTGCGCCGCCCACCTGGCTTCACTGGGTCGTTTCCTGCTGGTACCCAGTGGAGCCTCCGGCGGCCAGTCTACGGTCTCCGCCAGGCGCCCCGCGAGTAGCACGACACACTGAGGACGACGCTTGTGGCTCTTGGGTTTGCCCCTTCCACTGCTGACCCGTCGCTGTTTCTACGCACCGTCACCTCTCTGCCGCCGTTCTACGTCCTCGTGTACGTCGACGACTTGGTCTTTGCTACTGCTGACACTGAGGGACTCGCCCACGTGAAGTCGGAGCTGCAGAAGAGACACACGTGCACAGACCTGGGTGAGCTGCGCAGCTACCTTGGCTTGCAGATCACCCGGGACAGAGCACAGCGCACCATTACCTTGACTCAGTCACACATGGTGCAGCAGGTCCTTCAGCGCTTCGGCTTCACGTACTCCTCGCCACATCACACTCCTCTGCCTACTCGCCACTCGCTCTCAGCTCCACCTTCGGACGAGTCCGTAGAGACGAGTGGTCCGTATCCAGAGCTTGTGGGCTGCCTCATGTACCTGATGACCTGCACTCGACCTGACCTTGCATACCCTCTTAGCATTCTGGCACGCTATGTCGCTCCTGGGAGACACCGGAAGGAGCACATGGATGCCGCTAAGAGGGTGTTGCGCTACTTGTGCAGTACGTCGGGCATGGGGCTCGTGCTTGGAGGACGGGCTCGAGTTGTCCTCACTGGTCACGCAGACGCTTCCTGTGCTGACGACTTGGCTACGCAGCGGTCGTCACAGGGTTACACCTTCAGCCTTGGCTCCGGCTCTGTTTCTTGGCGGTCTACCCGCTCGTCTTCTGTTCTCAGCTCCAGTTGTGAGGCTGAGATCTACGCAAGGGCCATGGATGCACAGGAGTTACGCTGGCTCACCTACCTGCTGACCGACCTGGGAGAGCCGCCTCGTTCTCCTCCAGTGCTGTACGTCGACAACAAGTCCATGATTGCCTTGTGTCAGGAGCACAGACTGGAGCACAGAACGAAGCACATTGCTCTGCGCTACTTCCTTGCTCGAGAGTTGCAGCAGCGTGGTCAGCTTCGTCTTGCTACGTGGCCACTCGGGCCAACACTGCTGATGTCTTCACCAAGGCACTTCAGCCTTGTGATCATCAGCGTTTCTGTACTGTTCTAGGCCTTGTGCCTACTGTGCCTCACTTGCTCACTTCTTGACTCTGCTTGTACTGTGATCTCTATACCTATACCTGCATGCTTACACTTGCTAGGTTGTGATCACTGTATTGCTTGTTCTCCTTTATATAACTCTGCATGTGAACTGGCCTTGTGGCCATTTGCTTGTGCTCAGAATGCGTGGTGACGTCGTGATCCACCCTGAGCTTGCTTTGCCTTTCTTGACTGGTCTTGTGACCTCTTGTTCTCCCCCACTTTGCCTATGGGGGTGTGTCAGACTTATATGCTATAGTCTGTGTAGGCTGTAGTGGGGTAGTTCATATGGGGTACAACACTTTAGGGTTTCCTACTTGTACTCCTCATGCTGCTCAATGCAATCATTCCTCGTTCTATCTTTCACATTGACTGCCTTGAGGCGTAGGAGGAGACGATGCTCCAGTACTTGCAGTTGTTCGAGGACGAGCGCTTTTCCCTTTGAAGCAACTTTAGAGCTTTCTATGTACTCATAAGGGAAAACATGGCCAGCAGGCTTATCGAGAAGTCACATGGGGGAAATCGATAGACTTGGCCAAAGTTCCGATGTTCGTGACTTATTTGTTATTCCGAACCAAGCAAAAAGGATGTGATGCTTAGAGTCCACAGTCGATACCTGCAAGTAATAGAACAATATTTCTTTCATGGAGCGCCACAAGTTGACGTCACTACAAGGGGGTGTATTCCGTGGATGAATGTTTATACACTTGTCCACGCATACATGTGCTGGTACGCATTCGAAGAGTCACTCTACAACAGCACTGTACTACGTGGGAGACTACGCGTTGTACGGGATGATCGTAGCGTAGCCTAATGCTTGTGCAATTTTGTTATGCTCGTAGGCAAAGCTGACAAGAGTTTTAGTAGGAAAGGGGATCAACAATCATACAATGGCATGACAAAATTGATATAGCAAGGAATGCACTGCAACACACCTAGCAACCTAGCAAGGCGACTTGCCAACACAGCAGGAAGGCGGATTGCCATCGCTTCAGCAATGTAGTTTGCCGCCGCTGCACCAAGGCGGCGTGCCGGCATTACAGTCGCATGTGAACATATGCGCACATGTGCGTCACATTCCAAAGTATGTGTAGGTATGCATGTTAGATGATTGCGTGCACGCCGTACATGTGGTGCACATTGCGCATGTGCTAGGTTGTGGAGCACGTGATGCCGTTTCCGCAGGTCGACTCAAGCCAACCCTCTTGGGGCAAGATTCTCACACTTGCAGAATTTCGCCAACCAGTAACTTTTGCTCGACCAGAATGATGCCTCTCAGCCAACGTCGTCGACATGGTTTAGTGTGATATTGTCAGAATCAATACAGCGGAATGACTAGAAAGGGGCAGGTACAAGCAAGATGTATGAAACCCTAGATGGGTTGTACTCTACAAGTGCTACTCCACTACAGCCTACAGCAAGATATACAATAGACACACCCCCATACGCAAAGTGGGGGATAGCAAGCATAACAAGCGGTCACAAGACCAGTCACGAGAATAACAAAGCTCAGGGTGGATCTCAAGGACACCACACATTCCGAGCACAAGCAAGCAGCCACAAGGCCAGTTCACATGCAGTCTTATAATAGAGCAAGCAGTAGAATGATTACAACCTAGCAACCAGAAACATGCAGGTATATATATCAAAGTACAAGACAAGATCAAGAGACAAGCAGGTGAGGCAGAGTAGGCACAAGCCCAAGAGCAGTGCAGAAACGCTGATGATCATTAGAACCTAGGGCCTTGGTGAAGACATCAGCAGTGTTGGCCCGTGTGGCCACGTACGAAAGGCGAAGCTGGAACACTGCTGCAACACTCGCACGGCAAAGGAACGAAGTGCAAAGTGCTACGTTCTGCTCGCGAGTCTGACCAAGTAGCGCAGCACCCTCCTAGTAGCCCGCCAATGCTCACCCCTGACGGATGTAGGACACGAAGAGGCAGAAACGCGACCCGCAAGGTAGGCACGGCGGCAAGTAGCGGCAAAGCCAGCAAGCTCAGCTAATAAGGCAGAAACAGCAGCAGTCGAAGAAGCATGTGCAGTCACAAGCGCGGCTAGACAACAAGGGGTAGTCGGGCTAGCAACACGAGCAAGGTCAGACACAAGGTCAGGAACGGCAGGAAGAGAAGGCGGGGGAGGTAACAGCAGGACAACGGGCTCCCGACGCAAGACACAGGCGCCCGACGCCCAGTCAGGGAGACGGGCAACGGGTAGTATCGAGCAGGAGCAGGCAGAGGGGAGTCAGGCGGCAACAGTGGCCGAGACAGGTCAGGCGGCGGAAACAACAGAGGAGGAGTATTACAAGTGGGCGTCGGCTCAGGTAGCGACGACGACGGCTGCTCCAAGAAGATAGGCCGCCGTGGCAGCGACTGCAACGCACCCCCTGACCCAGCACCTCCAGCGTCAGTACCTCCAACTCCACCAACAAGAGGACTCCTAGCACCCCCAGAGTCAGCACCCCCAGAACCAGCACCCCCAGAACCAGCACCCCCAGAACCAGAACCCCCAGAGCCAGCACCCTCAGCGTCACCACCTCCAACAACACCTGGGCCCCCGAAGTCCACAGCAACATGCTGCAGAGGAGGCGAAGACGTCCGAGGCGAAAAACCCGGAGGTGTCTTCAAGCGCGACGAGCGGCGAGAGGTCGCTGTGTCGGCAGCAGCAGGGTCACCCCCCTCAGTCGAGCCAGAGGAGTCAGAGGGGACTACGAGACACGAGAGAACAGTGGAGGGGTGCGCATAGACTAGTCCAGAGGTGGGGTCGGCCAGAGTGACAGGGACCGAGAGCAACGCCTCCGCAGGAAACCGCACCTGTGCTAGTAGGCGCACAAGCAGCGACACACGAAGACTCTAACTGCTGCTGACCGCCCCCAGAACCGCCTCCACTATGGGCTGCTCCACCCCCGCTACTCCCGCCAGCTCCACTACGACCACCCTCGTCAGCTACAGAGGCGAGGTCTGACAGCGCAGGAAAGGAAAGAGGCAACGCAAGACAACCTAGGGTGGCAGGAGGGGGAGGGGGGGGGGGAGTAGCGCCTAACCATAGCGGAATAGAAAGCATGGGCCGACGGCACCTGGCGAAAGTTGGCTCTCTGGTCGAGCGAGAGGTGAGCGCGGACTACAAGTTTGGCGGCGGCGTTGCGCGCCATCCACCGCTTGTAGGCAACGAGGTCAGCGCGGTATTGCATCTGCACCTCCTCCCCAGCGGCAGCAGCAGGCTCAGCAGGAGCCTTGGGGGCCTGAAGAGACCCCGACGTGTGCTCGAACAGTGGGACGTCGTGGCTAGTGATACTCTGGAGGTACAGGTGCAGACCCTCTAACCAGGAGTCGAACTCTAGAGGGTGCCCCTCTGCGTCAAAGGCTAGCACAGTGGGAGTCACCATAGCAGCAGCAGTGGCAGTGATAGCAGCAAAGGCGGCAGTCGCGCGGCTGTAGCATTAGCAGCGCTCGGGGCAAGGCGGCGCTAGTGCGGGACAGGCCAGCGCAGGGCAGTGCATGCGGGTGGCAGCAGCACCTAGGGCGGCAGCAGGGTCCTCGCTAGGATTCTCGGGCACCTGATGCGTCAGACGGGCCCTTCGGGCCCGTCTGATGCATCAGAAATTTTGAAATTCCTTGTCTGACGGATCAGATATTTCAAACAAACGTTTCTTACCAATGAAATTCCGGTTTCTAGTTTCTGATTGCACGTGGGGCGAAAACCAGAATCTGACTTGACTTGTAACAGCCGACTTGCCCCGTCACAGCACATTCGACCCAACACAATGAAGATTCGACCAGTCACAGCAGGGAATTGACTGGGACAGCATATTCTGACGAAAATCATGCTCTACTAGCATGTTTCGGTTTCAGACGAATCACGAACTGTATCCTGATGAATCAGATGAAAACATAAAATTGTTTCTAACCAATCAGATGA